CCACCTCCCCCTGTCCCCTCCGCCCCCACACCCTCTCCCTCCTCGCCTCCTCCACCTCCGCGCGATTATACATATCCCCATAATTCCCATGCACAGTCGACGGCGTAGCACTCGCAACGCTGCTCCCGTCCGCGCGTTCGCGCTCGGCTTTTCTCTTCGCGATGAGCGCTCTTGCCCGCGCGCGTTCGGACGATTCGCGTGCGAGGCGGAGGGAGGAGGCGTCGTCGCCGAAGGAGGATGGTCTTACGGGGCGTCTTGAGTGTGCTGATGTGGTAGGAGATGAGGAAGCGGAAGAGGGATGTCGGATGTACGCAGGAATCCCAGCCAACGGGTCCGCGCCCTCCTTCCTCCTCTCCTCCCGCGCCTTCCACCCCGCCCTCCTCCCTCTCCCACCCCCACCTTTCCCCTCGTCATCTTCATAACGTTTACTGGCAGAGCTGTACCACGGCGACAGATCCTCCTTCGACGGCGCCAATGCGACGCCGCGGTCGGAGTCCGTGAGCGCGGGCTTTTTTTGGGAGGCGCGGGCGGAGAGGGACGTTTCGTGCGCTTCGAGGTCCGCGAAGAGGTTTATGTGGCCTGTGGGGTCTGTTGGGGCTTTTGGACCTGATATCGACTTGGTCGTAGATGTAGAAGCAGAGAATGGTCCAGCGCCAGGCGCAGATATAGAAGTAGACGACGAGTCTCCAGTACCAGTAGAAGTGCCCGTAAACTCGATCCCAGCCCTCCGCCTAAGCGCATCAATCCGCGCCTCGGCATCCGCCGCCAACTTCCGATCATTATCGAGTTCAGCTTCAGCTTTCGCGCGCGCCTCGTCCGCCTTTACGCGCGCGATGTTGTCTGCGCGGTACGGGTGATACGATTTGTGGTGCGCGATGTTCAGCTTGCCCATCGTTATCGTGTGGGCTCGTGACTGCGGAGGAGAACAGAAAGACCAGAAAGACGGAAGGCGAAGATGGAAGTCCAAAGTAAAGGAGAGGAAACGCCGAGTGTTGCGGCGGAAGTATAACGCCCACGTGGTTTGCTAGGCCGACGTGGTCGAACACGACCGCACCGTAACTCTAGCAGTAACAACGACCATGGCGGCACCCGAGGGCTCGCTCCTCGACAAGCTCGACGCCGTCGCGCCCACGCCCCTCCGCTCCTTCGACGCCTTCCCGAAACTCCCCGCATCCTACAAATCGCGCTCCGAGTCCCGCGGCTTCCTCACGCTCCTCATCGGGCTCGCCGCCTTCTTCCTCATATTAAACGACATCTCCGAGTTCGTGTTCGGCTGGCCGGACTATGAATTTGGGGTGGACGCGAGCGACGCGTACAGCTTTATGAACGTGAACGTCGACATGGTCGTCGCGATGCCGTGCCGCTACCTCTCCGTCGACCTGCGCGACGTCGTGGGCGACAGGCTATATCTCAGCAAAGGGTTCAGGCGCGACGGGACGCTGTTCGACGTGGGGCAGGCGACGGCGCTCAGGGAGCATCAAAGGATGCTGAGCGCCGAGGAGGCGGTGGGGCAGAGCAGGAAGAGCCGCGGCTTCTTTGGGTGGTGGGGGAAGAGCAAGGACAAGTTCGGCAAGACGTATAATTATACGCCCGATGGGAGCGCGTGTAGGATTTTTGGGTCGATTCAGGTGAAGAAGGTCACTGCGAATATGCACGTCACGTCGCTCGGGCACGGCTACCAGAGCAGGATACACGTCCCGCACGACAGTAAGCGCTTAACCTTCTTCCATTGTGCGCTCAATCGAGGCTAATGGATTCCTCGAAACAGAAATGAACATGTCGCACGTAATAACCGAGTTCTCCTTCGGGCCCTACTTCCCCGCCATCGTCCAGCCGCTCGACAACTCGCTCGAAATCACACACGACCCCTTCGTCGCCTACACCTACTTCCTCCGCGTCGTGCCCACGACCTACATCGCCCCGCGCTCCAAACCGCTCGACACGGCCCAATACTCCGTAACGCACTACACGCGCGTGCTCGAGCACGGCCAGGGCACGCCCGGCATATTCTTCAAGTTCGACGTCGATCCCATCCGGCTCACGCTCGTGCAGCGCACCACGAGTCTCGCTGCGTTCCTTGTGCGGGCGCTGGGCGTGACGGGCGGCGTGTTTGTGTGTGCGAGCTGGGCGCTGCGGATATCGAGCAAGGCGCTGGCTGTGGCGGGGATCATGCCCGAGGAGAAGGACGAGCTCGCGCCGGCGCCCGCGCAGGCGCGCGCGAGCGGGCTGCGCACCAAGTGGGGCGGCGAGAGTCTTCGGTAAGCGCCCTCTCCCTCCCTTCCCCTTCCTCATCTCCTCTTGAACCTCGTGCTGATACTTGATAACACAGAGCACGCCCGGGCAGCATGGGCGGCACCGTCCGCCGCCAAGGCAACTCCTGGGTCGTCGAAGGCTCCTCGCCCTACGGCTCGCCAATGTCGCCCTACCCGCCCTCGAAC